ACCAAGAAATGATCAGCACGTACATATAATTTCATTAATATTTTGCATTTTTTAAAGTGATGGTTATCCTTCAAGAAATATTTCACTGACATCATTCCTTCACGAACATTCCGTAAAGGAAAAGATAACGGTAAACGGATCTCCATCTACACGACCAAGCTCCACCGGAGGGTTTCTATCCCATCCCTCAATTATGGAACTTAAACCCGGATTTAATTCTATTTCTTCGAACTCTTCGAATTCTGTTGATACTGAAAAAGAAGTAGCACAAACCCCGCAAAATCAAAATCAGTCCCCTTTACTCACTGATGAAATGAGTCCAGAGATCGCATTTGTTCATTATCAGAAACGCTCTGAAGACCAGTACTGTCAAGTTTGTGGTCAGCCATCTGTGGGGTTTCATCATCGGGCCTACGTCTGCGAAGCATGCAAAGTAAGCCCTTCTTTTTGAGTTATCTTCTTCTTCCAATGCTCAGAATTTAAAAATGTTAAATTTTCCCACCTTTTTTGTGATCCATTAATGAACGTCCAATTTATTGAAGCTAGCGTAGGCTAGACGGTCTGGTATCGGTAGGGTTTAAAAAATTCCGAAGCCTTCTTTGGCAAATAAGTTCTAAAATTAATGCTCTGGTCAAACGGGCAAAAGTTTGTGGGTTTGAATACAAGTGAAAAATATATATGAATTCGTTCAACTCGACATTCCGGTATGCGCTTTCCTTTATTAATGATGCTTGATTGCGCTCTGAGCAAAACGCATTCTAGCAGGTAGTCAACATTTGCACAATTTTGTTTGATAAAAGTTCTTTTGCATACTGTCAGTCTCGCTTATTAGGTGTACTTTATTGATTATCGACAATAGGGCCAGATAATGTGTTCGGTATATTTTGATTATTTAAGTACTCATTAGTACATTTAATTCCTAGGCTGGGTCTTCTCCGTGTAGCTTCTCTGCTGAGATTTCGTCGCACATGCACAAAAGGGAAATTGCTAATTTAAAAGGGTACATCGGTGTTGCTAACTCTCCTCGCTATTGTCCATGACTTTTATCAATACAAACGTTTTCCAGATAGCCTGGGCTAAAAGAATTTGATAGTCAGTTGATTCAGTTTTACGCCTTAAACGTAAAACAGTGAATATAATTATCGTTATTAAATAAGCCTTTCAATAGAAGAAACAGCTGGTTGGTCTTTAGTTATTGTTTCTCCTTATGACAGGGATATGGATCAATTTACGAAAAGGATTTCACAATGTGCTTTTCCTATACAAAGTGCATTCTAATCTCGGAAGATTGTTCGTGGTTAACTGTTACTTTCGAAACAACATGTGTGGACTCTAACCCCTAGCTAGCCTTGAAAAGTTCACGTCGAAGGCTACATAATTTAGCTTACGCAAAAAAAACGAGACAGCAATATACAGTAAGACGGAACAAAATGTAAGACCAAAGGGCCCATAACGCACACTAATTCATGCAACCCTAAAGCCTCACACATCAGCGGAAGAAAAAGGTATTGGTATCTAAGAAAAATAAAAAGCCTATGAACGTATACCGTGCCTTAGAATTCCACGAGTAGCCAGCAGGTTTCGAGGCACAATCCACCAGAATTAGTGCAACGGTTTGAACTTGGAGCTAATACCTTTGTTAACAGTAGGGAATACGAAACACCCTTTTACAGTGGTTGTCTGTTTTGGATAAGTGGTAGTTGATCGGGCCCTGTACAGGATGCCCTGAGAATGAGTGAACTCACTATTTTAATCAGAGTGAAATAGGGGAGGAAATGAGACTTCGATAAGGCTATAAAAAGTTCGTGTTCAGTGAAGTGAATATGCACTCCTAAGTGGCCCATCTAGATGAAAACACGCTTATTATTTTGGTACAGTATATCTGTTCTCAGTATGTTGTTGATATCGAGCACAAAACATGGCTGTAGGAACCTCCCAAAGAACTTCGGTTTACGGTTTGTGCCGAGTAAAGCAACCTCGTTCAACAAGCTTAGTTCGTTCTTCCCTAACGTAGCAGTTTCTTTTAACCGTATTCATGGCTTAGTTTTACCTGCCTCCCTTCGCTTTTTGGCCCGCAACTTGTTTGCGCCTTTTTGGTTATAATCTAGGCCAGTTTCAGGAGTTTGTTGGTGCCGGTAGAATACATCTCACCTTTGTTGGATGATTTAATTAAACAGAAAGTTATTGCCGGCTCTATCTACCACTTTCTCATCAATCATTGTCAACCGATAGAACTTGCATCTTGTTGTTTGTGTCCATTATTTCGTGCATGACGCAAAGGGTGTTCGTTTACATGTGCTCGCTGATAGGTATCACTGTGACCCAATTATAGGACATACCCGTTATTTTCCCAATTCTGTTTATACTAAAGCTAAGCAACGTCTACCGTTCGGGTAAGACTTTTACACGTTAAGTTTATGATTAAAGCCTTTCCTCACTTCATCGTCCGTCTTGGGTGAAAATGTTCTTCGGTAAACAAAATGCCTTTAAACTTAAAACCTCGTCGAGGTACTGTTCAATATTTACGCTTACCGACAGGAAAAGTAAATTACCGTCAGCTCTGCCTCTGATTTTACCATTTTTTTATTATCAAGTGACATACGTTCGTATCACCGGACAAGATATGACTTACACAATTCTTTTGAGAAGAACTGAGCGGCTTTTTTCCGATTTCAACGTGAACTTGCGTATTTAATTTATATGGTTACTCTACATCCCGCGGATAAACTGTTGATCTTATTTCAGTCTCCTGACAACTCTTTCCTATAACCAAATTCGTGCAAACATTTAGATGTATGATCAGGATAATCGAACTCAGATTGTGTTTTTGAAGACAACTCAGTAATGCTCATTTTTAAATGAACTATATCTGTCGTCCCAGATAACTAAAACATTCTTCTTTGTACTTCCTGGCAGTAACTCATGCGTTTATTTTCGGTTCAATTGCCGAATAATGTTGAACCCTGCCAGCATTCCAAATCCTATTTTGTATACGATGCTTAATAAATAGACGGTCCATGGTCTTAAAATCGAAAAAAATAACCTTCACTGACGTATAAACGTTAAGGAAGACGCAATTTTCTATTGAAGGTGTACACAAAATAGTATTATCTGCATGATTTAGATAAAGTGTATTTGAATGTATAGGGACATCGAACATCAATGAGAACCTGGACATTACCTAAGTGGCCATTTTTCCACAATACTAATTTTTCAGGTAGCTAAAAGAAAGCTTGTTTAAAAGCCGGTATCGTGATGTGACTGAAATATCCTGGGATTGAGTTGCACAGTAATCAATATTGCAACCCCAATTAAGTAATTTGTTCGAATCGAAGACGCATTGCAGAATTTCCGTTGACATTTCATGCGATAGGGAATATACTCTACTAGCTAAAAAGAAATTCGTTCTTTGTGCTTCGTACGACCCTGTTGCATTTAACGGGTTTCTTACTGCCGTTCGTTTACTTGTAGAGTTCGGTCAAGATCTGGTGGCATAACGTCCCAATTTGAGGCATTGATTTGCCATTGTATTTGCACGAAAACGACCAAGAATAGATTAACCCGCCTTTTTTTCTAATAACACAGACCTGATTTGGAGTATCATCCTCTAGGCATTTTTCGCAAAAAAGTAGGGATTCGTTGGTGGACCAGTGCGCGACGGTATTTGTTCAGCTCTATTGTTTGCTGGTCTTCCTTGCGGCAGGAACGGTGTCTCCTGTTTTGCTGGTTCATGGCATAATTTCCGAGGATGCACTTATAAAATCTGGTCCAAATTGTGCATACTTTTAGCTATCCGTGAGGTCACAAAACAAGGCGAGCGCGCTGGCAGTGTGGCCTTGCCTTCACACATGTGTGTATGTGTGTATTTTTCTGGGTCAGAACAGCTGTTGACTGTTGCTACTGCTGAGGAGGAGACACGGCGCAAGTGCTTTTAGAAGTTGTTAGGGTCAACTAGGGCCTATTTCTCTCTGGCATCAGTGCAAAGCAACTTTAATCCGAACCCTCAGTTTGCCAACTAAAACAGTTCCAGTTAATAGCCCAGCGGAAGCTCTTTGGGTCGTCATTTTCCCTACGCAAAACCCACACAAGGGGGTGGGGCCCATGACAATACACTTAAATCAGATAAAAAACAATCTACAGAAAGTGAGTGGCATTATTTTATTTCTATAGCCCACTCATACCGATTTTTGAGTGAAAACATTAACAAGCATCTTGTCAGAGCTTTAGAGGAAGCTCTTTTAAAACCAAGAATAAACGGACATTCAAATCATATCTCCGGAATGAAATACAGCTTTTTTCGTCAACAGATCTATTTTTGTTCGATGAAAACTCATTTTATTACAGCCTTATCTGAAATGCACCACTTAAGTGAAGACTGGATGATAGGTTAGTGGCAGTTTTTGCCTTTTATTGCCAATAAACGTACCGAAAATATTTGAACAGACGGCTACTTGCGTGATTTTGTTTGTGATGTTCGTTTGTGTAACCGTTTAGGCGAGTTTGTGCTGGCCTCATATTGCTGAATCCAGTCAGCATATTTAAACAGCCTAAGATCGTATCCTCGAAGTGTACTGACTTGTTCTCCTCATCAACGCAGTGTTTGTTTTCTGTTGCACACGGAATGCCTAGGCATTAAACTCCGCGAAGATTCCCGACGACAGCTGTGCCTTCCTTATGCTCACTGATTATCCCGGGGTGATGGTCGCTATCACCGAAACAAAATAAACAAACTTTGTTGATTATCCGATGACATAT